TGCTCATGGTATTTCTCTTTGCAAAGTGCTTGGTTGTTGATGTAGTCGTTCACGTTTTGTTTCGTAAATTCACTCCATGGCGTTGCTTGATGTGTTATTTTCCGCATTCTTTCGTGGTTGGCCATGCACTCGCCACAAATCATTCCTTTGCATTGAGGACAAAATCCAACCAACTCTCTACGTCTTGAACATTTCACACACTCTGGAAGCTGCTGTTGGCTCTGCTTTTCAGGATTTATACTCATGGCTTCGAAGAGCTGAATGAGCGATGTGTACGTAAATGAAGAAGGAAGCTTCGAGATGTCGCCTCCTTCGACATCAATAGCGATTCTACAAGTTGGGCATACTAGTGGCTTGTTTTCTTTGTGGCAACTGTCGTTCCAKYTTTTRATGCATTTGAAACAGAAAGCATGCGCACATGGTAGTTTCCTCGGATCAGTAAAGATCTCTTTACAAAAAGCACAAGCTAGCTGAGCTTTTAGGTCGTYAGTAAAACTATGTGTTGCCATTGTGTTTTTCAATATRAATTGAAAGCTCTGTTCGTAACACTTTATAATTCTGAAGAGTGTAACGCATAACTAGCTGCAACTATAGTAACCCTGACAGAATCAAACTTCCTTTTTTACCAAAAATGTTAATTTTAATTTGCCTGAACGATGTTTGGAAGAAAATGCATGTGTAAGCGACTGATCAAAGAAGCATTTTCAGTGCTTATGATTCGAATTCATTATCTTTTATTTAAGATCGTGTCAACAACTATAGCACAAAATATAAGAGATATTTTTTATCAGTCTTTCTGCGTAAACACTCTCGAAATAGTACAGAAGCAATATACTTAAGTCGACGTATTCAACGGTTGAATGATAACAATGAAGCCGCTATTTATGGAGTAAAAAGTCGTATATTAATAGACCTCTGAAACGCACTTTGCTAAAAGTTMTTTATACCTTCTAAAGCAGTCTTTTGACGAGTAGAAAAAGGCTCACTCGTGGGGAGTAGTTCAATATCGAAGATTGATACAAGTTTAATATCCAGTCTCTAGCATAGAAATAATCTTTTCCTTGGCAGCTTTGCAAATTTTAAAAGCGTACTTTCTAGCAGTCTCATTTCTGAAAAAGTACAACATCGGGTTTCCTGCAGACTTTGATAGAAACAGCAATAAAGACATAACTCGGGCTGCTTCACGAGCATTCAAATGTGATTCGCTGACATCCGAGATATAAAACCTCTCCGCAGMAGCAACTGTCATGGGAAGGTAGCTGACGAAGAGGGAAATCATTATAATAGCAACCGTTTTAATCCCACGGCGAAAGCTTGGAATATGGTTCGCACTTGGATGCACAGCCAAATGCTGCGCGATGATTTTCTTGCTGTGACCCCTTGATATTTTGTAGATTTTTACGTACGTAATAGCGATGAAAACCCCACCGAACAAGAGAATCGCCTGTGGAATGATTCTAGGTCCATCTTCGAGGGGAAATAGAAACGCAGCTGCAGTCCCAACAGCAATTCCTGTCACCCACGAGCCAGCAATGGCGATCTTTACACGTTTGATGGTAACAATAGAAAGATACTTTAGCGAATACTTGATTGCAATGTATCGATCTAGTGTTATCAAGCAGAGAGTACTAATGTTTACGTAAGTCGTCACCAAAATAAGAGTATAAACTATAAACACAGTTGTTTTCTTAACTAAAGACGTCTCGTAAAACCGGGCGGATCTGAAAATGGCAACGAAGAGTGGAACTTGGAAAAAAAGCCCCATTAGAAGGTCAGCCATAGCTAAATTGGCAAGCAAGTAGTTTGAAGGGACTCTCAGTTCATTGTAAACTTTGACAAGAAGAATGACAATTAAGTTACCAAAAAAAGTCACAAATATTAAAAATAAATTAAATATCAGAAAAAAGATTGCAAGATTGTAGTTAAACTGGACCACTCTTCTTAAATTTCCAAAAAATCCAGCTGAGTCTTCAATCGCTAATATTTTGGTAGTATTGTTCATGGCGGTATATAGAGTAGACTAAAACTTCGTTTCGTAGATGGAACTTTCTGGGGCTGACAAATCTGTGAAACTGACTGAATAAAAGCTCTTTGAGTCCTGGTTTTTGGATTTCTTTAAAATTCTTCTCCTGTGACACAATTTTGTTGTTATTCTTTATTTCAAAGAAGTGGGCCTGAAATGCAAATGAAATTGTTACATATAACATGTACTTGCAACGGATCTTATAGAGCGGATTTCGTATGAGTGGGAAACGGACGGTACTGTACTGTGACCGTAATCGTACTGTAACCAAATTCYAGTGCCCCATTGGTTCACCAAAATTGTGAAGGCCAGRTCCGGTAACTGTGCGGTAACCGTKCGGTAACGGTGTCCCACTCATACGAAATCCGCTCTATTGACGCGATAGAGTACAAACATTAAATGTGTGCAATACTTCATCCATGACGTCATGAATGACGTCATTCGTATCCTGTGACGTCATGCACATAATTATGGTAATTTCTCCAGATTTATAAAGTTCGGGAGTTGACATCCCTGTTTCCCGAGCATCCTCTATCAACTGATAAGTAAGCTGAGCATAAAAGCTATATCGATATTATATTTGTCACATTTTCTCGTTAATGGACAAAACCATAATATGGTCCATATTTCCAATTTCGATTATAAACCAAGTCGCAGATATAGATGTACATTGACCYAAATAAAACAATAATAACATCATATAGGGTTCAGGACAAAAATGAAGAAGCAGCCCACGGGATCCTGGGAGAAATATATCTGTTCTTTTTGTCCCAGTAAGCTGTAAGTCACAACTGGTAGATTGCCAGCGAGAAATTCATTGAAAAAAAAAAAAAACAACTCTACAGGCAGCGGATACTTTCTAAGATCAATGTCTGCCAGGAAAATAAAAGCATCCTTAACGGCTAGTCGAGAATAAATATATATTATCTTTTTTCGGTCCGGTATCCTAGTCATTCGCGCGCTGTGATTGGCTAGCGCGCGGGGTCCGGTTTTTTCACGATCTGCCCAGTCCGACGGTATCCTGCAGCTAGGCTGCGAGCCAAGTTGCATAAAATACAAATAAAAAAAATAGAAATGTTATTTACCGGCTATAGGTCGGTCCGTATAGGAAAACTCGGTCTTTTATGTACGGACCTCGCTGCGCTCGTTCCGTACTGTCAAGACCTCGGGCAGTGTTTTCCTATACGGACCTCCCAGCCGGTAAATAACATATATAGCTGTTTTTGACGATGAAAACGTTATAGAAGCCTTTTTTGACCTTAAAAACGCTCACACCTGGAACAAAATTATAGGGTTGCCACATTTGCTTGTGAGATTGTAACTGATGTAACTCAAAATCCCTTTCCCAGGATGATTTTTGCGCTCATTTTGAAATTTCACTTTCGGCACAATAAATAACCACTAAAAGAAGCTTTCCTTGAAAGCTAGTTTGAGCTCTCTCCACATGAAATACTTTTCGCGAAAGACAGGCATTTCTATTTCCAAATTTTTCAGGTCTAATCCAGTGCTTCAGGGCGAGCCCAAACATTACGCTGGGTCCCTGCTGGTCCCACTTCCCATGTCATGACCTGGCAGCACCTTAAAAAGTACATTATGTTTTTGAAATGTTGCAAGCGCTTTTAGTACTATATCTAAACTGCGAATACATAGCTTTTATATACCTAGAACTTTGAAATTCCTGCAGCAAAACAAGTACGGTAAATTGGAACATAATTCCTGTAAATATGAAAGTAATCCGATGTAAAGTTGTCATTTTGAAACTTTTTGTTTTCGAATCAATGTTTTATTTACACTTTTTTTAAATTGCGTTTTCGAAGCGGCTTTGTAGCGACGGTCGCAGTCGACGAGTTTTTGTATTTTCCAAACACAGAATGCTGACAATCTGTATCTCAAGGTTTTCAAATTTGAGAAAAATCGGTGGATTTTTGTGCGCATGGAATTAAAGCAAACTTTTAAGATCACTATTTGAAAATTTGCTGGTGTTCGCCATCGCGCCATCAGATTATTTCTCGAATACACGATCAGAAGGGTTAATGATTCAATTTTATTATATAGATGATTTCTAACGCGCGCTCTGATTGGCCAACTAAAAGTGTGGTTTATGAGAGTATAAACCACGATTGTGCGCGAGCGATTTTTGAAAGGCAACAAAATGGAGTTTTGCTTAAGTTTTGCTCAAAATCTATATAATAAAACAAATAAAAANCTCTGCATTTATCAGTTTTAATGACAATTACTACGCGTTCACTCTAGGTCTTTTTTTCTGCCGAGAATGAAAAATTTTAAAGCGCGCTTTAAAATTTTTTTAAAAAGCGTTCATACTGGTCTTGAGGTAAAATTGCGTTTTTTTTTCGAACGAATAAAATGCTACTTTGAAAACCTAGTGTGTTTTTTTTGTTGATTCGTGAATTTTATCAAATAAATGTGAAATATTTTTTTGCGTCATTTTGAACAAGGTTTAAGCATTGATAAAACATTTTTTTTCTTAGAAGCAATATGCAATGTTTTCTGCGCCCAATATTTTTTTTCTGTGCGTTGAGTCGAAGTGGTTTAGTATAAAATTATTTTTTTGAGACAGAAAATACACAATGTGTTGGGCGGATCAAGATTTTTTTGTGGACAACCTGAAAACCTAACTTGAGATACTTAACATTTTTTTTTTGATCGATAATTTCAAATTTAATGAAGTCGGAAGCTTTTTTTTTCCTATGTATTCTGTGCTATTTTCTTTCAAATAAGCCTGGCGCAAATTTAAACCATTCAACATTCATTTCCTTTATTCAATTTTTTTGAATGSCTTRGAATAGTGTTAAATAATGTTTAAATGTTTTTTTTCTRATGCTTTTARCATTTGCTTCCTTTAACAAGTTGCTTTTTTTTTCGAACATAAATTTTTTTATTAAACGGCTAACTCATTTTTTTTCAAATTATATATTATTTATAATATATATATATATATATTTTTTTAAAATAGAAAATTACAGAACAAACTACTGTATTTCCATTTTTTTATTTTCACTACAATATTGTTTCGTATGGTCCAGAGGATTTTTTTCATCAGGTGAAACCAATTACAATTCTTGGGGCGACTGTTTTTTTCGACCATCGCCCGAGTTTCGAACATGATTCGTAAAATTTTTTTTCAAAAAGCGATTTTCGATCAACGCAACACTTGCAGGGCTGTTTTCACGCACGGTGCGCGATAGACAATCGCGTTTCAAAAATTTTTTTTTTTAAACGGGGCTTAACAAGCTGAATTTGTTACCATTTTTTTTAATCCTTGTGACAAAATCCTTGGACCAATACAGCGAATTTTTTTATTTCAACAGGAAGTTCCGGATTGCCAGGCCAAATTCTTTTTTTTAGCCAATGAGATGCCGATTAGTGAGGATCTCACCCTTTTTTTTATCGTAGAAGAGAATTTGATATTTGAATACCAGCAAATTTTTTTGTTATCTCTCCTATCTCCCTAAATGCAATAATGCAATTTTTTTTTTTAGCATGTTAACATATCTGACTCGTTCCCATTCGTTTTTTTTTATCTAGCACGCGAAAGGCATCATGGGAAAATCGACTTTTTTTTTTCTCCTTCCCAGAAAGCTTTTCGAGACACTAAAAAATTTTTTTAGAGACGACTGGGGACGAGTCAGTTACCACAGTACACTTTTTTTAAAACAATGCCCAACATTGATGCAAGAGGAGCCGACGTTTTTTTTTCTTCTGAATAACTGTTCGACTTTTTTCCTGAGAAATTTTTTTTGAGCTACATTTTTGACAATCTCACAATCAAATGTGGTTTTTTTCTTTCTTTAAAATAATTTTGTTCCTGACGAACGTTTTTTTTTTTAAAAACGACTTATATTCAGTTTTTAGTATAGGAATGTTTTTTTTTACTGGCAAAAATTCTTAGAAAGTACTCCTTGCCTGGTTTTTTTTTTTTTTCATGAATTTCTCGCATGGCAACCAGCTGGCTTTTTTTTGTAAGAACAGATATATTTCTCCCAGGAACCCGTCGGTTTTTTTTATTGATGAAAGAGGGATAAGAGATGTGAAAAATAAAGGAGAAAAAAGTTAGATTTGAGACAAATAGTTTTCTGTTGCAAGTTTTTTTGGAAGCAATGATTGTATTTTGCACACAATTACTTTATTTTTTTTCCGACTTTAGATACTTTGGTTCAGTGACCATGCACAATTTTTTTACAGACGAGGCTCCGGGGAAATAAAAGAATAAATCAATTTTTTTCATTGTTTTCCCGGAGCCTCGTGTGCTTTCTTTTGTATTTTTTTATTGAAGCAAAACATCTAAAGTTGACTATACGTTGAAGATTATGCGAAAACATGATTGTAGCTAGTTATTCCGATTGTTAGGGTTTCCTGTGCCTTGGATACACACGGACACGATATGCGCGCTCTTTTTTTCCTGTGTCATGACCAACAAAAATATACTCTTTAGACATTTTTTTAGCATTTTGTTTAGGTA